TGCATAGTATAAGTGGCTTTGGCATGCTGCTCTTACCTGTATTTTTTTGTACCTCTGTATGTATGCTAAAATTACTAAATAAATAAATAAATAAATAATAATATTAATAACCAGTCGGCTAACACCCAGGTACCTACTTGCTGCTAGGTGAACATGGACAGCAGGTGTCTTAATGAAACACGTCCTAAAGTTTCCACCCATATCGGGTAACGAACCCCTGACCTCAGTGTGAGCTGAGTGCGCTACTAGTACACATGATACGAGAAGTGAGGTAATCGGTCCCTCATCTACCTGTCACTGTCTCTATTTCGAACCGATGAAGCCGCTACTGACTGGCGAAACATTGGCAGCTAGAGATACCCAGATGTAGCACCTGTGTCTGACTCCTGATCGTAGAATTGTAACTCTTAAACCGAAAATTAATACTGTGTAAAAATATAGAGGGGTAACCATAACAGTTGTAAAATGTTGTCAATAAATGTTTAAACCAGTGTTTATAACCTATGTTGCCTGGACTTGTCTGACAGTGATGACGAAGAATGATGAAGTATGGTGGCTAAAGCTCCCGCTTCACACACGGAGGGCCCGGGTTCGATTCCCGGCGGGTGGAAACATTTCGACACGTTTCCTTACACCTGTTGTCCTGTTCACCTAGCAGCAAATAGGTACCTGGGTGTTAGTCGACTGGTGTGGGTCGCATCCTGGGGGACAAGATTAAGGACCACAATGGAAATAAGTTAGACAGTCCTCGATGACGCACTGACTTTCTTGGGTTATCCTGGGTGGCTAACCCTCCGGGGTTAAAAATCCGAACGAAATCTTATCTTATCTTATCTTATCTTAAGCATGATAAGGTAGCATGATGAAGCATGATAAGCATACAAACAGGTGTTGTCTCAAGACTGTCATCCTGGACCGCGACATAGAGGCCATCACAGGTGTTGTCTCAAGACTGTCATCCTGGACAGCGACATAGAGGCCATCACAGGTGTTGTCTCAAGACTGTCATCCTGGACCGCGACATAGAGGCCATCACAGGTGTTGTCTCAAGACTGTCATCCTGGACCGCGACATAGAGGCCATCACAGGTGTTGTCTCAAGACTGTCATCCTGGACAGCGACATAGAGGCCATCACAGGTGTTGTCTCAAGACTGTCATCCTGGACAGCGACATAGAGGCCATCACAGGTGTTGTCTCAAGACTGTCATCCTGGACCGCGACATAGAGGCCATCACAGGTGTTGTCTCAAGACTGTCATCCTGGACAGCGACATAGAGGCCATCACAGGTGTTGTCTCAAGACTGTCATCCTGGACAGCGACATAGAGGCCATCACAGGTGTTGTCTCAAGACTGTCATCCTGGACAGCGACATAGAGGCCATCACAGGTGTTGTCTCAAGACTGTCATCCTGGACCGCGACATAGAGGCCATCACAGGTGTTGTCTCAAGACTGTCATCCTGGACAGCGACATAGAGGCCATCACAGGTGTTGTCTCAAGACTGTCATCCTGGACAGCCACACAGACGCCATCACTCCTCCAACCATAAACAATAACAATATCTTCTTACACTGTCCTCTCCCCCTCCCCTCACCCTTCTCTTTCTTACCTGTCTCTCCCCTCACTCGTTCCCCATCCCTCTATTCCCCCTCACTCTCCCCTCACTCACTCGCCAGCCTTCAAGAGGGGTTCACCTCCTTCCCCTCGCTCACGTAAGTTACACTTCAGAGTATTGATACTGTCACCAGCTCTAACACAAACTATATATATATATATATATATATATATATATATATATACGTATGAAGATATATTTTTTCATTTATGTTAATGTAAAAATTAATAATTTTGTACCAAAAGAACCTTAGAAAACTTACCTAACCTTATTATAACAAGTGCAATTTAATGTGGTCTAATCCATCTAAATATATTTTAGATAAGTTTACAATAATTTAATAAACACACACAATGAAATATATTTTTATTGTTACCTGGAGTATACCTGTTGAGGGTCTCAGGGGTCAACGCCCCCGCGGCCCAGTCTGTGACCAGGCCTTATGGTGGATTAGGGCCTGATCAACCAGGCTGTTATTGGTTCGTTAGGTTCAGAATGATTTTTGCGAAATTATTCCATACACAAATTTTCGCTTGCCTTATTCGGCAAGAAGAGCGTTGTTATTCAAGCCAAATTCTCATGTTTTGCCTATTCGGCACGACATTATATATATATGTCGTGCCGAATAGATACGATATATACACCATGTTAATTCAAGAATTTCATTGTTGTGGGAGAATGCTCCTCACTGTGGGAGAATGCTCCTCACTGTGAGAGAATGCTCCTCACTGTGGGAGAATGCTCCTCACTGTGAGAGAATGCTCCTCACTGTGAGAGAATGCTCCTCACTGTGAGACAATGCTCGTCTTCACTATGGGAGAATGCTCCTCACTGTGGGAGAAAGCTCTTCACTGTGAGAGAATGTTCCTCACTGTGGGAGAATGCTCGTCTTCACTATGGGAGAATGCTCCTCACTGTGGGAGAATGCTCCTCACTGTGAGAGAATGTTCCTCACTGTGGGAGAATGCTCCTCACTGTGGAGGAATGCTCGTCTTCACTGTGGGAGAATGCTCCTCACTGTGGGAGAACGCTCCTCACTGTGAGAGAATGCTCCTCACTGTGGGAGAATGCTCCTCACTGTGAGAGAATGCTCCTCACTGTGAGAGAATGCTCCTCACTGTGAGACAATGCTCGTCTTCACTATGGGAGAATGCTCCTCACTGTGGGAGAAAGCTCTTCACTGTGAGAGAATGTTCCTCACTGTGGGAGAATGCTCGTCTTCACTATGGGAGAATGCTCCTCACTGTGGGAGAATGCTCCTCACTGTGAGAGAATGTTCCTCACTGTGGGAGAATGCTCCTCACTGTGGAGGAATGCTCGTCTTCACTGTGGGAGAATGCTCCTCACTGTGGGAGAACGCTCCTCACTGTGAGAGAATGCTCCTCACTGTGGGAGAATGCTCTTCACTGTGAGAGAATGCTCCTCACTGTGAGATAATGCTCCTCACTGTGGGAGAATGCTCCTCACTGTGAGAGAATGATCCTCACTGTGGGAGAATGCTCCTCACTGTGGGAGAATGCTCGTCTTCACTGTGAAAGAATGCTCCTCTTCACTGTGGGAGAATGCTCCTTTTCACTGTGGGAGAATGCTCCTTTTCACTGTGGGAGAATGATCTTCCTCACTGTGAGAGAATGCTTCTCACTGTGGGAGAATGCTTCTCACTGTGGGAGAATGCTTCTCACTGTGGGAGAATGCTTCTTCTCACTGTGGGAGAATGCTCTTCACTGTGGGAGAATGCTCCTCACTGTGAGAGAATGCTCCTCACTGTGGGAGAATGCTCCTCACTGTGGGAGAATGCTCCTCACTGTGGGGGAATGCTTCTCTCTGTGAGAAAAGGCTTCTCACTGTGGGAGAATGCTTCTCCTCACTGTGGGAGAATGCTCCTCCTCACTGTAGAAGAATGCTCCTCACTGGCACTGGACAAGCACCTAAAGTCAGTTCTTGATCAGCCGGGCTGTGGCTCGTACGTTGATTTGCGTGCAGCCAGCAGCAACAGCCTGGTTGATCAGGCGCTGATCCACCAGGAGGCCTGGTCACAGACCGGGCCGCGGGGGCGTTGACCCCCGAAACTCTCTCCAGGTAAACTCCAGGTAAACTGTGGGAGAATGCTTCTCACTGTAAGAGAATGCTCTTCCTCACTGTGGGAGAATGCTCCTTCTCACTGTGGGAGAATGCTTCTCACTGTGGGCGAATGCTTCTCACTGTGGGAGAATGCTTCTCATTGTAAGAGAATGCTCCTCCTCACTGTGGAAGAATGCTCCTCCTCACTCTGGGAGAATGCTTCTCTGTGGGAGAATGCTTCTCTCTGTGGGAAAATGCTCCTCCTCACTGTGGGAGAATGCTTCTCACTGTGGGAGAATGCTTCTCACTGTAAGAGAATGCTCCTCCTCACTGTGGGAGAATGCTCCTCCTCACTGTGGGAGAATGCTCATCCTCACTGTGGGAGAATGCTTCTCTCTGTGGGAAAATGCTTCTCACTGTGGGAGAATGCTTCTCACTGTAAGAGAATGCTTCTCCTCACTGTGGGAGAATGCTTCTCACTGTGGAAGAATGCTTCTCACTGTAAGAGAATGCTCCTCCTCACTGTGGGAGAATGCTCCTCCTCACTGTGGGAGAATGCTCCTCCTCACTGTGGGAGAATGCTCCTCCTCACTGTGGGAGAATGCTTCTCCTCACTGTGGGAGAATGCTTCTCACTGTAAGAGAATGCTCCTCACTGTGGTAGAATGCTCCTCCTCACTGTGGGAGAATGCGTCTCACTGTGGGAGAATGCTCTTCCTCACTGTGGGAGAATGCGTCTCACTGTGGGAGAATGCTCTTCACTATGGGAGAATGCTCCTCACTGTGAGAGAATGCTTCTCACTGTGGAAGAATGCTCCTCACTGTGGGAGAATGCTCCTCACTGTGGGAGAATGCTCCTCACTGTGGGAGAATGCTCCTCACTGTGGGAGAATGCTCCTCACTGTGGGAGAATGCTTCTCACTGTGGGAGAATTCTTTTCACTGTGGGAGAATGCTCCTCTTCACTCTGGGAGAATGCTCCTCACTGTGGGAGAATGCTTCTCATTGAGGGGAAAATGCTCCTCTTCACTGTGGGAGAATGCTTCACACTGTGGGAGAATGCTCCTCTTCACTGTGGGAGAATGCTTCTCACCGTGGGAGAATGCTCCTCATGTTACAGTAGTAACGAGGTGTGAACACAGGTGTGGAATACAGTTACACACTGGATACAGTGACTGAAATACAAGCATTATTAACAAGACACAGTAATGGGTACAGAAGCTGCACCGTGTGTCGTGTTTACACCGTGTGTCGTGTTTACACCGTGTGTCGTGTTTCAGATGGCGTGTTTAAGTGGCATTGTGGTGGCGGTTTTTGTGGCGATGATGGCGGTGGCGGCGGAGGTGGCAGGGCCAGTTGTCAGAAGTCGTAGTAAGTATAATGATTCAGTACTACTACTACAACTACCAATAAATTATCCCCGTAATGCATAACCCCAGTCCCCTGTACCTCAGTGAAACGCAAAAAAATAGTACAGAGTGCGGCATAGATTTTTAATGAAATTAAACATCAGCTTAGGTTAGGTTAGGTAAGGTTCGTCAGGAAACAGGACAAATGTTTCCTGACGCGGGTCTTAGTCAGATGATGACCCGCCTTTGGAGCTTTTGGTCATCTGACCGAGGCCTTCCGCTGGCGTACCAGTCCACCCCTTTAAAAATTATGGTCATTTATAACCATTGTCTGTCTATATACCTTTAAACATCAGCATTTGAAATTTGATAAGAATCAGATTTACTTCTCACGAGTAATGACATGGAGACTAATATCCCAATTTCTCCACTAACTAAGTGAAATGTGTCCTCATTGACAATAAGATTGTTGTCAGTAGCTCACTATGAAGACTTGGTTTATATCTGCTTGGAGATTAGTTGTGTCCTCAGCGGGTGCTAATCTTATACAAATCCTAGTATCGTCTGTGAAGAATGATACAGTGCTATGATATGTGACTGTGAAGAATGATACAGTGGTATGATTTGTGACTGTGAAGAATGATACAGTGCATGATTTGTGACTGTGAAGAATGATACAGTGCTATGATTTGTGACTGTGAAGAATGATACAGTGCTATGATTTGTGACTGTGAAGAATGATACAGTGCATGATTTGTGACTGTGAAGAATGATACAGTGCATGATTTGTGACTGTGAAGAATGATACAGTGCATGATTTGTGACTGTGAAGAATGATACAGTGCATGATTTGTGACTGTCTATGTCGGATATGAGAATGAGGAAGATAAACTTGGAAAGTATAGTGCCTTCAGAAACAGGCTTTCCACCGTAGCAGCTTCTGATATCACTCTATTTACCATTACGAGTTGGGCTCTGTGTGTTAGAACGTTAACACTGTTTTAACTTGGTTTTCTGGAGTCTGGTAACGTAGCAAGGGTAGCTAGGAGGCTGTACACAAACGGTCATAGACTATCTCCATTTATTCGAAAGAGTGAGTACACAGGCAAACAGACTGAGCGCCGCAGAGGCAGTCCTGAATGGCGAGGTGTAAACAAGAGGTAATCCAGGCGAAGATTGAGCCGGTTGTAAACCAGCATAGGTCTACCTTGGTAAATATCCGTCTCTCCACTTTTGCAGTTATTCTCCTTGCATGCGCTGTTACTACATTATCACACTTGTCGAAGGCATTTGCAAAGTCTGCATATATATTACGTCTGAATCTTGTTTGTCTGAGTAATCCATACCTGGCTTCTGCAATGAGCATGTTGTTAGAGTCATTATTGAGTCCAAAGCCGTCAGTGATGACATAGAATCAGTAACGATGATAGAGCCAGGCTCAGTGTCATAAGTTAGCTTGCCACGGACATGAAAAGTATGAACGTTGTGGGAGAAGACTATTGTGGAAAATATTTTAATTTTCCGAAGCTATAGTGCCTAATAGGTGTTTAATGTGTCGATATGAGTCAAAAATGTATTTGACAATAGGATAGAACCAAGAGTTCCCTTTGCGCATGCGCGGATGTGCAGGGGTAGAGGTCGACTCGGGGCATGGGAGAGGCGGGAGTGTTTTGAATGTAGTGAGGAATGTAGGTAGTGTAATGAGCAATTCACACTTCCACACCTGGTCACAACTGTAATGAGTTATTGGTGCAAATATTGATTGTTGAGTCACACACACACCACACACACACACACACACACAGCATTCCGACACCTTAGTAAGGAATCATTCAAGACACTGTACACCGTGTATGTCAGGCCCATACTGGAGTATGCAGCACCTGTTTGGAACCCGCACTTGATAAAGCACGTCAAGAAACTAGAGAAAGTACAAAGGTTTGCAACAAGGTTAGTTCCAGAGCTAAGGGGAATGTCCTATGAAGAAAGATTAAGGGAAATCGGCCTGACGACACTGGAGGACAGGAGGGTCAGGGGAGACATGATAACGACATATAAAATACTGCGTGGAATAGACAAGGTGGACAAGGACAGGATGTTCCAGGGAGGGGACACAGAAACAAGAGGCCACAATTGGAAGTTGAAGACACAAATGAGTCAGAGAGATAGTAGGAAGTATTTCTTCAGTCATAGAGTTGTAAGGCAGTGGAATAGCCTAGAAAATGACGTAGTGGAGGCAGGAACCATACACAGTTTTAAGACGAGGTTTGATAAAGCTCATGGAGCGGGGAGAGAGAGGGCCTAGTAGCAACCGGTGAAGAGGCGGGGCCAGGAGCTAGGACTCGACCCCTGCAACCACAAATAGGTGAGTACACACACACACACACACACACACACACACACACACACACACACACACACACACACACACACTTTAGTTTAATATCTTTATTATGCACCCCATACCCATCCTGTGGGCGGTAGTTAAAAGATTACAAAGGTACATAATGGGTCCAGTGAATGGACCTGAAAGTTATGATAGCTGAACTAGTTACAAAGGTAATGAACTCCAGGTAGATCTGGTCACAATCATGGCAAGTTACAGAGGTAATGAATCAGCTTCACTCCTATACAGGAAAGACTGTGCTATAACTTAAATTGCCAGGCATACCATCTAAAGGGGACAAAAAGATACAAAACATCCAGGCCATGGGAAAACCTGGGTAGCCACAGCCACTCAAGAGGGAGAGGTTTTTTAGTGCCAGGAAGGAAAAAAAACTGGCAGGAAATGGCAGAAATCGTACACCAAATCCAGTCATTCCTGGAGTGGAACCACAGTCGATGGCCTCCACTCCAAACCAACAGATACAGATACTAATGCCGGAAAAAAAATCCCCCCCCCAGTACCAACAATACCACCAGTCCGATAACATTCTTCTTTGCAAATATACAGGGTCTAAAGCCAGCAACAAACAACAAAATACCTTTCATCCGTGGACTGCTTGCAGAGGCAAAGGCAATGTTCGCGGCTTTCACTGAGACCCACATAAAGGATCACTTAGACAACGAAATATGGATCCCAGGTTACAACCTATACAGATGTGACAGAGTGAACAGGCAAAAGGGGGGGGGGGGTTGGCCTGTACATTGCAGAGTCACTTGTTTGCACAGAACTGCCAAATGCCTCAAATGATGTAGTGGAAGTTTTAGCAGTAAAGGTCGAGAACCAAAACCTAGTCATTGTGATAGTCTACAAGCCTCCGGATGCAACATCCCAGCAATTCCAGGAACAGCTGTTAAAAATTGAACACTGTCTGGAAAACCTTCCAGCTCCTGCACCCAACATCTTGCTCCTGGGGGATTTCAACTTAAGGCACCTAAAATGGAGGAATATAGCAAATAATATTGTTGCAGTAATAACACCAGGAGGCAGCTCTGATGAAAACTCACACTCACGCGAGCTTTTAAATCTCTGCACAAAATTCAATTTAAACCAGCAAATAATAGAGCCTACTAGACTGGAGAATACACTAGACCTCATCTTCACTAACAATGATGATCTGATAAGAAATATCACCATATCAAAAACAATATACTCAGATCACAACATAATTGAGGTTCAGTCATGTATGCGCGGAGCCCCAGACCGACATAATGAGATTAGTCACGAGGGAGCATTCACCAAATTCAACTTCAATAACAAAAACATAAAGTGGGACCAAGTAAACCAAGTCCTAACCGATATAAGCTGGGAAGATATACTAAGCAACACAGACCCCAACTTATGCCTAGAACAGATTAACTCGGTGGCACTCGATGTATGCACAAGGCTTATTCCTCTAAGAAAAAGGAGGAGTAGATGTAAACAGAAAGAGACAGGCGCTCCCTTTACAGGCGACGGAAAAGAATAACAGAGCGGCTAAAAGAGGTCAATATATCTGAAATGCGTAGGGAGACACTGGTCAGAGAAATAGCAAGCATCGAACTTAAGCTAAAGAATCCTTTAGGAGTCAGGAATCGCGGGAAGAACTAAAAGCCATAAATGAAATCGAAAGAAACCCAAAGTATTTCTTCTCCTATGCCAAATCAAAATCGAGAACAACGTCCAGTATTGGGCCCCTACTTAAACAAGATGGGTCCTACACAGATGACAGCAAGGAAATGAGTGAGCTACTCAAGTCCCAATATGACTCAGTTTTTAGCAAGCCGCTAACCAGACTGAGAGTCGAAGATCAAAATGAATTTTTTATGAGAGAGCCACAAATTTGATTAATACAAGCCTATCCGATGTTATCCTGACGCCAAATGACTTCGAACAGGCGATAAATGACATGCCCATGCACTCTGCCCCAGGGCCAGACTCATGGAACTCTGTGTTCATCAAGAACTGCAAGAAGCCCCTATCACGAGCCTTTTCCATCCTATGGAGAGGGGGCATGGACACGGGGGTCGTCCCACAGTTACTAAAAACAACAGACATAGCCCCACTCCACAAAGGGGGCAGTAAAGCAACAGCAAAGAACTACAGACCAATAGCACTAACATCCCATATCATAAAAATCTTTGAAAGGGTCCAAAGAAGCAAGATCACCACCCATCTAGAAACCATCAGTTACACAACCCAGGGCAACATGGGTTTAGAACAGGTCGCTCCTGTCTGTCTCAACTATTGGATCACTACGACAAGGTCCTAAATGCACTAGAAGACAAAAAGAATGCAGATGTAATATATACAGACTTTGCAAAAGCCTTCGACAAGTGTGACCATGGCGTAATAGCGCACAAAATGCGTGCTAAAGGAATAACAGGAAAAGTCGGTCGATGGATCTATAATTTCCTCACTAACAGAACACAGAGAGTAGTCGTCAACAGAGTAAAGTCCGAGGCAGCTACGGTGAAAAGCTCTGTTCCACAAGGCACAGTACTCGCTCCCATCTTGTTCCTCATCCTTATATCCGACATAGACAAGGATGTCAGCCACAGCACCGTGTCTTCCTTTGCAGATGACACCCGAATCTGCAT